CATGTCCCCACAGGGCCAGGGGTTCCCCAGGGCAGGGGCCAGGGAGCCGGGGGCCTTTAACCCTCCCCTGTCCGCCGCCGGGGGGAGCCCCGGGGGTCAGCTGGGCCGCGGCCTGGGGAGGGGAGGCATGTGCGGGGAAGCAGCAGGGCCGCGGCAGTGAGGGAGTGTGGACGCCTGGGGGGTTATATAGGGGGCCGGGGCGGGCGGGCGGGGGGCAGGCGGCAGGGGAGGGCGGCCTGACACATCCTGACTCACCCTCCCTGCCTGCCTTTTCCATTCAGACGGAGCCGGCTGCGCGCAGGGCTCAGCCGCCTCTCTCGGAGGAGGGCACGGAAGGAAAAGTTGGAAAAGTTGAAGAGGGAGGGGGGGTGGTCGGAGAGGGGCTGGTGAGGTCATTGGCGTCCCCTCCCTCCACCTCCACGCCGGAGCAGACACACGCGGCTCCAGGCTGGGGCCCGCCGCGGGTGGGGGTCCATGGACCAGCAGGGCAAGGAGGGATGGGAGGCAGGACCGGGAGAGGCGGCCGGGCAGGGCCACAGCACGGTGGCGGCGGCCTGGGGGAAGAGGCCAGAGGAGGAGAGGCCAAGGGATGGAGTGGGGGACACAGGGGACAGAGACACGCAGCGAGAAAGGGATGGGGGGAGAGAGAGATGGGGAGAGACAGGCAGACGGAGACACACAGAGGAATGGGGAGACGGGGACAGAGACAAGGAGATAGAGATGGGGAGAGAGACGCATAGAAGGATTGGGACACAGAGACAGACAGGGGACAGAGAGACAGAGGGGGATGGGGACATAGAGACAGAGACGAGACAGAGACGGGGAGAGACACACAGAGGGATGGGGACATGAGACAGAGACGGGGACAGAGACACAGAGGGGGATGGGGAAACAGGGACAGAGTGGGACAAAGACAAGAGACAGAGACACAAAGAGGGATGAGTACACAGAGACAGAGAGAGAGGGACAGAGATGGGGACAGAGACGCACAGAGAGATGGGGACATGGAAACAGAGATGGGTACAGAGACACAGGGGTGGGGACATGGAGACGGAGACAGGAGTACAGAGACCCACAGAAGGATGAGGACACAGAGACAGAGACACAGGAGGCAAAGACATGCAGAGATGCTGACCCAAAGTCGGAGAGAGTGGACAGACACCCAGAGGGATGGGGACACAGAGACAGAGAGACATAGACAGGAGTCAGAGACACAGATGGGGACACAGAGACAGAGAGATGCAGAGGGATGGGGACACAGAGACAGAGATGGGGGTCAGAGACACAGGAAACAGACACACAGAGAGATGGGGACATGGAATGAGAGACAAGGGACAGACACACAGAGAGACAGGGATACAGAGACAGAGATGGGAGTCAGAGACAGAAGACAGAGACATACAGAGGCCGACATGGAGACAGAGACGGGGATGGAGAGGGGGGCAGACACACACAGGGGGATGGGGACATGGAGCCAGAGAAAAGGGACAGAGACACACAGAAGGATGGGGACACAAAGTCAGAGTCAGGGGACAGAGACACAGAAGCAGAGTGGCCAGGGAGATATACCAGAGAAGCAGAGGGGACCTCAGGGGAGATGGAGACTGCAGGGGACACTTGTGGGTGCCACAGAGACCCCAGGGGACAGGGACAGGGATGACAAGATGGAGAGGAGGCAGGAGACAGCAGAAACACACAGTCACAGAGCACAGTTACAAGGACAGAGGTATTAGAGAGACACAGACGCTGAGGTCGGGAACTTGGCACAGGGTACAGAGAAGGGGATCTCCTTTCTGGAAGATACAGGTGGAGACAACAGACCAAGAGGAAGGTGTCGAGACACTCTGCAGAGACAGACCCTCCATGTCTGACTCTGCCCCCCATGCCTCAGTTTCCTCAGTTGCGAAAGGGGAATCCTGAATACCCAGCCCCTCAACACCACGACAAAGCTCCCATGAGCTTGTCCATGCCAGGCACAAGTCAGCCCTCGTCCGGTGAACCGTCCTTACCTTCCTTGTTCATTTATATGGACGCACCCAGGGTGCAAAGAAAATGCGACCTTTTCTCTGCCTTTGAGGGACGGGGGGTTGTGTGAGGGGTGGAGCTGGTGGGTGGCTGAGTTGGAGGGAGGACGGTGGGGATACTGAGGCAAGATCCTGGAGCCGGGGCAGGGACCGGGGCCTTGGACGATGCCACACAGAGAGGTGGAGACCGGAGGGGGCAAAGAAGGAGAGGGACACCCGGCTTCTGAGAGACAGTGACAGCCACTCCAGCACACAGAGGTGGGCGCTAGGTGACACCAGCCCAAGTCCCAAGAGTCCCCTCCCCCCCAGGATCTAGGCGGCAGAGGAAGATGGGCTTGGATCCAGAGCACAAAGAAGTGACAAGACCCCCACAGGCCTTCCCGCAGGGGTGACAAGGCCCCCACAGGTCTCCTCACAAGAGGGTGACAAGGACCACAGGCCTCCCCGCATGAGGGTGACAAGAACCTCCAAGCCACCATGTCTTAGGGATGGCAAGGCCTCCACAGGCCTCTCTGCATGAGGGTGACAAGGACCCCACAGGCCTTCCTGTTCTAGTGATGACAAGGACCCCACAGGCCTCCCTGTCTTAGGGGTGATAAGGACCCCATAGGCCTCCCCGTATGAGGGTGACAAGGACCCCACAGGTCTCCCTGTCCTAGAGGTGACAAGGACCCCACAAGCTTCCCCTCACGAGGGTGACAAGGACCCCACAGGCCTCCCTGTCCTAGGGGTGACAGGGACTCCACAAGCTTCCCCACACGAGGGTGACAAGGACCCCACAGGCCCCCTGCATGAGGGCTGACAAGGGCCCTCAGTCTCCAGCTGGCTCCTCACGTCCGCCTCTGACCCACACCAAGTGGGGGGTCTCTGGGAGGCCAGTGCTGGAGGCCTGCGACCCCCCCCACCACTCAGAGGGGCGCCAGCTCAGGCCCCTGAGGAGGTGAGGTCACAGCCCCCCACGGTGGGACATGACCTCATCGCCTCAGGTAAGCCTCTCTCGGGTTCTTTGGTCTGTGGAGCCACCCCTTCCAGGGCCCCCCAGGGGCCCTTGCCAGCCCCGGCTCCCGCTGGGACCCAGGCCTCTGACCACCGGGTCTCCGCCCCTCAGGGGGCCTGTTTCCGGCTGAGTCAGCGTGGGGGGCCCAGGGCTGCGTCAGTCAGGGGAGAGCTGACGTAGCCCCCCCAGGCTGGCGGGGCCAGCCAAGGTGACTCAGGCCACCAGCTTGGGGGATGGACGAGCTGGGGGGACGGGGGGCTGGCCAGGGGCCAACCCGGAGACCAGTAGGACTCTGGTAAAGCCAGCACCTTCCACTGCAGGACCCAGGATCCCGGCCCCAGGCCTTCTCTCCCAGAACCCAGATTCCAGGACCCAGCCCCTCCTCCATCAGACTAGGAGTCCAGGCCCCAGCCTCCTCCCTCAGACCCAGAGTCCAGACCCCAAGCTCTCCTCCCTCAGTCCCAGGAGTCCAGGCCCCAGCCCCTCCTCCCTCAGACCCAGAGTCCAGACCCCGGCCCCTCCTCTTTTAGATGCAGGAGCCAGGCCCCCAGCCCTTCTTCCCTCAGACCCAAGTGTCTGGGCCCTAAACCCTAGTTCAAGAAAGGTGGGGACACTGTGTGGCCCTTCCGCACGGGGGGGAGCACTGTTTGGGGGAGGTCACGATCCATGACAAACCTGGTCTCCCACCAGCTTCTCACCTTGTCTCAGTTCTGAGACTTCAGTCAGGTTATGGGGTCAGACTCCATTCCCCCAGCAAGGTGGCAGGTGGTGGAAGGAGATGGGGCCCCTGGAAGGCAGAGGGTATGGGGTCTGGAGACTCTGGGGTCTTCCCCAGGCCAGGGTGGATGACGTTGGACAACTTTACTTCTGTAGAAACAAAGGAGAGAGAGAGAGACAGACAGAGACAGATGAAGACAGGAACGAGACCAGGGATAGGGTGTGACAGAAAGTGACAGGGACAGGAGTGAAAGATGGAGAAGCAAGGCCAGGCACGGTGGCTCATAGCTGTATGCCCAGCACTTTGGGAGGCTGAGGGGAGAAGATTGCTTGAGCTTGGGAGTTCGAGACCAGCCTGGGTAACATAGTGCGACCTTGACTCTACACAAAATTTTAAAAATTAGCTGGGCATGGTGGCATACGCCCAGAGTCCCAGCTACTCAGGAGGCTGAGGCAGGAGGATCATTTGAATCCAGGAGTTGGAGGCTGTGGTGAGCCATGATCATGCCACTGCACTCTAGCCTGAGCCACAGAGTGAGACCCCCTGACTCGAAAAACCAAACCAAATCCAGAATCAGAAGACAGATGCAAAGAGCAGTGGGCTGAAGACCAGCTTAGAAGAAGCAGAGGTGGGGGACAGGGTACCAGGCCCAGGGGAGGTCACAGACTCCGCGGGGGATGCCGCTGGGACGCGGGGGTGGCAGGAGTCTCCTTGGTCATGCTCCGGCCCCAGGGCAAAGCAGAGCCGGCAGGGTGTGAGGTCAGCAGGTCCGAGGCTGTGTGTGTCCGTCTGTCTGTCCCTGGGGGGTCCTGTCTGGCCTCAGGGGGGTGACGGGGCAGGCCGGCCGCAGAGGCAGCCCAAACCTGTCATTAGTGGTGAGGGCCGTGACGGCGGGCCCCCCCAGTCCCAAGCCGCGGTCCAGGGCCAGGCGGCCCCGCCCCCCGCCCCCTCCCTGATCCCTGAGGAATCCCGGGAATTGGGAAGTGGGTCCGGATGATGTTGACACAGGAAACAGTCAGCAGCTGCCTGGCCTCAGCCCGGCAACCCCTCTGACCCCCACCCCCGGCCCCCTGCCGAGCCCCCTGTAACCTGTGTCATCTCTGACGAAGGCAGCCCGGGGCCCACTCAGCACCCACCAGGATGTTTACAGGAGAGATGGGTAAGACAGGGAGTCAGCCCCATGGGCTTGCTGGGAAATGGGGTCTGACTCCTGGACTATCCCTGGGTGACGCGAGGCCAGGCCCCGGCCCTCCTCCCCCAGACCTGGGAGTCCAGGCCCCCAGCCCTCCTCCCTCAGACCCAGGAGTTGACCTCCCAATTCCTGTCCTCCATCTAATCTAGACATCCATCTCCTAACCCCCTTTCTCCTCAGAATGTAGAGAGACTAGCCTGGGGTCAGTCGCTGTGCCCCACAGCTGAGTGGATGTTGACATGGGGTGAGCTGGGGGGCTCATGGCCCAGCCCAGCCCCAGTGTGGCCCCCTCTTCTTGGAAGCCAAGTCTCCCTGGTCTTTGGGGCAGAGCAAGATGGAACCTGGGATCTGCAGTTGGACTGACTCCCTCCCTCCCCGCCACCCTCTGAGCACAGGTGGGGAAACAGACCTGGGTGGCAAGTGGGGGCTCCCTGCCCATGGGCCACCATCACGGCCTGAGAGTAGCTCCCACCCACCAGACCCTCAAGTCTCAGCAGTCAAGTCTCAGCAGGGACCACCTGTCAGCCCCTTCTGTGTTTGTTTTTTGAGTTGGAATCTCATTCTTGTTGCCCAGTCTGGAGTGCAGGGGCATGCTCATGGCCACCGCAGCCTTGACTTGCTGGGCTCAGGCAATCCTTCTGCCTTGGTCTTCCAAGTAGCTGGAACTATAGACACATGCCACCATGCTCAGCTGGTTTTTTTTTTTTTTTTTTGAGTTGGGG